AGATGATCGTCAAAATCCCGTCCAACAATGATGATGTCATCGAGGTAAACTAGGCAGGTTTCGCCCAGCAGTCCCGCCAGCACCTGTTCCATCAAACGCTCAAAGGTTGCCGGTGCATTGCATAATCCAAATGGCATCACCTTAAATTGCCAGAGTCCCTTCCCAGTTGAGAATGCGGTCTTTTCCTTGTCCTTGGGATCCAAATCCACCTGCCAATAGCCGCTTTTCAGATCGAGCGTTGAAAACCATTTCATGCCACTCAGTGTGTCAAGTGTGTCATCGATTCTTGGTAACGGGTAGCTATCCTTCTTGGTTACATCATTCAATCGTCGATAGTCTACGCAAAACCTCGTTGAACCATCTTTCTTCTTGACAAGCACGACAGGTGAACACCAAGGGCTAGAAGAGGGCTCTATCACGTCATTTTTCCTCATATCGTCAATCATTTCTTCAACCTCTTTCTCACGAGCGAATGGTATGCGTCTGGGCCTTTGACGAATTGGCATTGTATCACCTGTGTTTATTTTATGCTTCACCAAACCAGTTCGGCCAATATCACCATCGCTTCTTGAAAACACATCAGAGAATCGAAGAAGTAAATTTCTAGCTTTCATAGTCTCCACTTTTGTCAGACTTTTGTTTTCGTCTAAGATTTTCGTTACAAAGTCTATTCCCGTACTGTCCTTCTTCACAAGATTCTCCGAGCATTTTCTTATCCAGGCCACTTCTTCCAATACGCCCACAGGCTCTCCTTCTTCAATCGTAATTTTTGAATCACTGAAGTTGAATACCGGAATGCGGTTGACATCAGATGACCCCACGACAGTTCTCGCCGGTAGCCATGAGTTTACGTGTTCCGATTTATCAATCACAGCGCATCTTAGAGGTAAACTTCCTTCCCTCCTCCTAGGTAATGCGATTGGTACGAGAGTCTGTGATTTTGGTTCAAGAACAGTTCTTCTTAAACAGCAAACTTTTCCCAGGGTTCCACCCTTCATCGGAATTTCCTCAGTTCCACATAGTAATACTCCAGATTTTAAGTCGATGTTACACTGGTGCCCTTGCAGGAAGTCAAGTCCCAGGATGCAGTCATCCAGAATTTTGGCCACAATAACCTCATGTCGATAAACACGTTCCCCAATTTTGATTGTTACATGCAGTTTTCCACTTATCGGTATGCACTGGCCGGTAGCTGATTTCATTCGTAGGCCAACAATTGGTTTAACGTGTTTCCTGATGTTTTGCCCGAGCAGCCGAACATTTATCACCGTCCTTGAAGCTCCAGTATCTAATGTTAGCTGACTGTTTTTCCCATTTACTTGACCGTCTATCACCAGAGTATTTCCATCGTTGGTTTGCTTGATGTAAATTGTTGGGGTTGTTCCACTACCAGCCGGCGCCCACCCCGCAGCCCTGGCTGGATTTAAGTTTCCCTGCTGGTCAGAAGTTGAGACCGCCGCGTCCTGGCGGTTCATCTTCTTCGGGCAGTCGCTCCGTATGTGTCCACGCTCTCCACATCCATAGCACATGAAGTTCCGACAACGTGGAGGTACCTGCTCCGTTGTCGTCATTTCCCGCAGACGTAAGGTACGGGAGCTGCCACGCACGGCTTCCACTTCCAATGCATGGGCCAGAGCTTCTTTCATGTTCTTGTGATGGCCCAGATGAACAGCATCTCGTACTTCTGGGTCCCGAATACCGTCAATGAACGCTTGGAGAAGCGTGCCTTCAATCATTGACGGAGTCGACCGAAAAGCTCGACGTACAAGTTTCTCGATTTCCACGGACCATTGCTGTAGACTCTCATTAGCACGCTGAGTACGCTCTTTTAATTGCGCTCTGTACACGTGCTCGAGGTGGCTGTCTCCAAAACGTGCCTCAAGTGCGTCGAGGAGGGTACTAAAGCTGAGATCCCCACTTGCGCCGATAGCTTCCAGCACTGAGAGCGCTTGATCACGGAGGGCCAGGGTGAGGGCTGACTGTGCTTCCTTCTGAGTCCAACCATAAGCCTCCATAAGTGTCTCAAACTGTAGCTTGAACGCGGTCCAGGATGTTGTTCCGTCGTAATGGGGAATCTTCAGCCCTTTCGTTGCGCTTGAGGCCGCATTTGGGGCGTCAAAAACGGCTGCAAGACGGCTTCGGCTCTTCAAAGGGCTTGGGCTTGTCACTTCCTGCTTGATTTTGGAGATCTCTTCTTCCACTCTCTCCTCTATCGCCATGACGCGATGTTCCAACTTGCCTAAACCTTCCTCCACTTCTTGTACCCGTTCGACAGCCTTTTGCAGTCCCTTCGTGAAATCTTTATGCATGTCCTCCAAGCGACGCGCTTGCTCCTCTTGGCGACGAGCTTGATCTTCTTTCAGCTCCCGCAGCTGTTCTGACTGACAGCGTGCTTGCTCTTCTTGGCGGCGCGCTTGCTCTTCTTGGCGGCGCGCTTGCTCTTCTTGGCGGCGCGCTTGCTCTTCTTGGCGGCGCGCTTGATCTTCTTTCAGCTCCCGCAGCTGTTCTGCCTGACAGCGTGCTTGCTCTTCTTGGCGGCGCGTTTGATCTTCTTTCAGCTCACGCAGCTGTTCTGCCATCATTTGCCGCAGCTGTAGCAGAAGATCCATCTGCACAGGCTTGGCTTCTGCATCGCTGGTCTGAGCTGCAGCACCCTCTTCCCTCACACGCTGCGCTTCTGACATAGCACGGGTACTCACTCCTCTTACGTCCTGCGGCACTAGCGGCATTTTTCTCCAATCCCACTTCTGACACCAAATGTTACGTGCCTGACGTCACGTTCCTGACTATGCGGGCTTGGGTTACGGGATTGGATGAAATGAAACACTAATACCGGTTTTCAGACTTTCTATTGCGCTTAAGTTACAGCGTCCACGGAGTTAAGTTATCGGCGTTCCTCTCCAGCAGAGTCCGGCCGACTGACACAACTTTGCCGTTCACGCTAACTTCACTTAACTGACTGCACTTCACTATTTCACTGCACTTCACTATTTCACTCACTTTTCTTCTTTTTCACTTCTTCCTTTTCTTCCGAATCGCTTTAGACTTAGAACTCAACTGCTAGCGGTGAGCCGCAGTTCCGCTTATATACCCCCGGTCAGGTTCTAGAACATTCAATTTCGATATTCTTTTTGATCGTCATGCCTCCAGAACCTTCCAATAATTTCGTTATTCATTTTTATTTATTCTCCTTCTCGCTCCTTAATTTTTCATTACTTTCACTCAAATAATTCCAGAAAGTTCGACAAAACTTCCATCAACTAAAAAACTTCATGTTTACGGCGGGACTCGAACTCGGGGTCTCTGTGGTGTAATCCACACGCCTTGCCGATTACACCAACTCGTGCTGACAATTCACGACGAAATTTACAATCTCTAGGCAACGTTTGACAACCATCCATTGACGTCATGATGTCAAAGAGTTTTCTGTCACAATAATTTACAGTTAAAATTAAATATTATAAAAGCAGTCATGTTTGCCCCTGCTATAGAATATTCTGTGTGACACAAATAACCTAATGGGTATAAGACTCTGAATCAGTAACGTATGGAATGTGGTAATGTGTCTCCGATCACTACCTATCGAGTAGGTACCTGCCTACCTCGAACTTAGACATAATTATAAAATTATTCAACCGGCAATAAAAGTATTTGGCAGCGGTGGGATTCCAACCCACGCCTCTGAAGAGACTGGTGCCTTAAACCAGCGCCTTAGACCGCTCGGCCACGCTACCACATTGAAATGAGGGTAAATCTTGATGTTCTAACAGGCATAGATAGTTTTATGCCCGGTTCCTATAATTGAGAAACGATCCGTTTTAGTTACGAATAGTAGTTTTATATACGACTCGTAAGCTAAAACCGTTCCTATAACAAACGTCTCGTCGTGCAACTTACTGACGGTTTGCAACTAACGGATGTCGGTAAGCGAATTGTATGGAGATCTATGGTGTCTGTGGTGTTACTATAAATATTTTAACTGTCAGTAGACGGTCAAGATAACTATTCGTAATGTCATTTGGTCGCAATGCGTATACAACGACGATTCGTTAAATATAGGAACCGGGCATTAATCTATCAGCACGTCAATTCTTTTGAATTTTGAAATGTTCGAGTGTAAAGTCAGCGTCGAAGTGACGAGTAATTACATTATAGTATGCCACTTTTAACATCATCTCATAATCTATCAAAATGTTGCGGTCAATTTAGTTCGTAGAAACTCGCAAGTGTTTCGGAATTCAGATTAGAAGTTTAGAATGAAGTATTGCAGAATCACATAGCTGATGTTGATTTGTCTGAATAGATTTTATATAATTTACTGATTGAATTTGATGGTCTCACAAATCATTTAGATACTGCTAAGCTAAGCTTTTAATTTCGTTCTTTTTTCATGAGGTATATTAATTTCAATGACTATAGGTACCTATAGTAGTACCTACCTAGTTACTTTTCTTTCATCACACTCGTGTAATCTTTAATTTACAATTAAAGAGTAGTTTGAGAAATTATTATTTTTTTAAATTATTATTTCCTTGTAATTGAAGGAACACAAGGCTTGTTAATTTGATTTAAATTATAATAATAACATGTAGGTAAGTGTATTGTTCGTTGGGAATCCTAATAACTAAATAACAGACTGTAGATGCATAGCTTATAACATTCTTCCTACTACGCTACTACTAATGATGACTACATAGACATAGACATTTCCATGCTTGAGATCAGTTTAGGAACAATTTTGATTACATCGGTACCTAATCAAAGTCATTCAATGCAGAAATTCGCCACAAACAACAATCTCTCCCCCTCGAGAGAGATTATTGTCCGTGCCCAGGGTGCACCGGCCCGCCAGCTGCCCTTCCCCCCGGACACATCCGTGAGGGACCTGCAGCCGCCGAGCACACGAGGAGGTTCTCTGCACGCACCCCATGTCCCTAACCTAAGCTTTTTTTTGTCATTTTATGTTTTTATATTATTATTTTTTTGTTTTTCATTCCCATTTATAGTTTTTGTAGATACATTATATTATTAATATCGGAGGACCACGACATGTCTCTAGTGGCCTCTACATTTTCCACTGCAGTGGTCTCTGGAATGACTCCTAGATCGGCCTCTGGAGTGACCCCTTGAATGGTGTCTGCATCGCTGCCTTGATTCTTCTCTTGCTCTTCCTTTCTGCGCTTGCTTGCAGCAATCGTGATACTTTTCCTTGTGACATCCATGATCCATGTTATTTGATGGTCCTGCAGACCTACCTCTAGAATGGCCACGGGATCTTCCTCTAGAATGGCCACGGGATCTTCCTCTAGAATGGCCACGGGATCTTCCTCTAGAATGGCCACGGGATCTTCCTCTAGAATGACCACGTGATCTTCCTCGAGAGCGACCGCGGGACCTACCCCTGGAGCGACCGCGAGATCTGCCCCTAGAGCGGCCGCGAGATCTGCCCCTGGAGCGGCTGCGTGACTTGCCCCTGGAGCGTCCCCTGGACCTACCTCGCGATCGACCTCGACTCACAGATCGATCTCTCGAGCGGCCTCTGCAGCGAGAACATCTTGTATCAGCTTCCACTCCTGTGCTCACATCTAGAGCTGCAGGCTCAGCACTCGGCTGCCCACGGCTGGGCACTGCTACGAGGACTGCTGTCTCCATGTGCTGGATCTCCAACCTCTGAAACACACAACGGATCTTCGTATCGGTTAGTGAAGTAGGTATGTAGGTATAGCTGGTATAGCGTGAGATATAATGTGACTTGCGTCAACTGCTTGAGCTGAATGTGGCTCATCCCACGAACGTTATCGTTTATATTCAACTTTGTTGCGTAATCATTTCACAAATTGCGCAATGATTGCAATTATTGCGTAATTGTTGTGCAACAAAATGGCTTCGTATGGGTTTAGGAAAATTCCACTGCCGATAAGTAGGTTAGGTACCAATTAATGTCGCAATATTGTGAAATATAAAGCATAGGAAGTCTGCTATTCCTGTAAGCCCTTGCGCCTTTTATTTGATTTATCTATTGTGTTGCCAGCAGGCTGAGCCTTTTTTTGCTATCGCATTGGAAAATCTTCACGGAGTCCCAAGGGGAAAAGTATGTCAGACTCTTACTGACTAAAAAAAACCAACCCGCTGTTCCTCATTTAGATACCCATGTGTTGTGGAAGCATTTGTCGTACCCCTCGACGGGTATTGGCCCGTCCGGTAGTTAGGCCGGCCACGTCACCCTATGCCCCCCTTTTTTTTCTTCTGGGGATATTCATCAACTGACCTCTTTAGGTAGTGGTTAGTCAGTAAGAGTCTGACACTCTCTCAGGCGAGAGAGAGTGTCATACTCTTACCCACTAACCCCCCCCCCCCCCGTTCCTTCTCCTGTTCTGGGCCGAGGCCGCGGTGACTCATTGCGCTTAACCCGCAACGCCGGACCCTGGACTCCACTATGAGCGCGCGGAACTAATAGGCTGAGCCGACGTTTGTTTGACGTTGATCGTGCTCTAAAGTACTTATATGCATGTAGTTAAGGTATGCAATGGACATAAGAGGCAGGACAAATTCCCTTAGGTAGGTACCTACACATACTACATAGTGTAAAAAAGTATGTAGTGGGTATAGGATTTTAACTCATTGTAACCTATCCGATGGCCACCATCACATATGAGGGACCAAATCCGCTCAAAAGACCAAGGTGGATTTACAAACGGTGAAATGCCAGACTTGTGCCCGCCGCTGTGAAATAAAAGGTATGACACGTTCTGATCGTGTAGTACTATGCTGTGGCTAATTCATTTAAAATTACTCACATCAAATGTTCAATGGGATAATTTCAAAAATAATTCTTATAGCATGATTCACTGTTCACATGCGACGGCGCGATGGCTTATTATCCGAACTGCTAAGCTATCAGGAGTACATGTGCTATTTTGACTTAACCATAAAAGATAGACACATGCTATAAAACATTTTATTTAGATAATTTTATGTAGAATATTTCCGTCATACATAAATTTGATGTAACTTTAACCGTTAAGCTACACACGCGACGGAACCTTAAAAACGGGGTAACTTCTTCCGTTTTTAACCAACTTCCAAAAAGGAGGATGGTTCTCAATTTGACCGTATAATATATGCTTTTTTTATGTTTGATCGCCGGTATCTCCTTTATTTATGAACCGATTTACCCTATAACCTGCCCAGGAGTATAAAGAATAATTGTACAAAGTTTTGTTAATTGCGTCGAGTAGTTTTTGTTTTTATAAGGAACATACAGACAGACAGACAGACAAACAAAAATTTTACTGATTGCATTTTTGGCATCAGTATTGATCACTTATCACCCCCTAATAGTTTTTTGAAAATATATTGATGGTCAGAATTGACCTCTTTACAGATTTATTACAAGTAAGTATAAATTAATATCAGATTAATCCAGGTTTAGGAACATTCAATCAATTTATTATCTCAATGTACCTAATGCGCGTCGGCTGAGGGTGTTTCTGATACGTTGCTGTTACTTTTTGTCAAATATTTATCTCCGACACATAATTCGAAAAAACTGGTCACGCAGTAATATTAATTGGTGCAATGCATGCTTATATTCTGAGTGATACAGTACCTACATATGAATATTGTGCAGAAGTCGGTCGGGCAACAGTCTGCAGAATAGAAATAAATGTACCTATGGGAATGTGTCCTGCCTCCTATCCCCATTGCGTACCTTAACTACATGCGTAAAATTATTTGAGAGACAAAATAAGTCATGTTCAGCAAGGCTGAGCCTATTAATTCCGCGCGCGCCTCATAGAGAAGTCCAGGAGCCGGGGTGACGGCCACAAAGGGTGACGTGGCCAGTCTGAATATTGTCCTTCCAGGAAGGTCCCATGAGAATTATCCTCTCACAATGGATATATACCAAATGTATACCCCTTGGTGCACAGGAATACCAAAAACAACTTGGGTTGTTTGCTATATGGGGATCTAGCAGACTACGTTCTCTTTGTACCCATTTCAAAATATTGCGTCATCAATGAGTAGGTATTTTCCTAGAACAGTGGAATTTTCCTATATTCCTACAAAGGTAGCCATTTTGTTTCGCAACAATTACGCAATAATTGCAATCATTGCGCAATTTGTGAAATGATTACGCAACTAAGTTGAATATAAACGATAACGTTCGTGGGATGAGCCACATTCAGCTCAAGCAGTTGACGCAAGTCACATTATATCTCACGCTATACCAGCTATACCTACATACCTACTTCACTAACCGATACGAAGATCCGTTGTGTGTTTCAGAGGTTGGAGATCCAGCACATGGAGACAGCAGTCCTCGTAGCAGTGCCCAGCCGTGGGCAGCCGAGTGCTGAGCCTGCAGCTCTAGATGTGAGCACAGGAATGGAAGCTGATACAAGATGTTCTCGCTGCAGAGGCCGCTCGAGAGATCGATCTGTGAGTCGAGGCCGATCGCGAGGTAGGTCCAGGGGACGCTCCAGGGGCAAGTCACGCAGCCGCTCCAGGGGCAGATCTCGCGGCCGCTCTAGGGGCAGATCTCGCGGTCGCTCCAGGGGTAGGTCCCGCGGTCGCTCCCGAGGTAGGTCCCGTGGCCATTCTAGAGGAAGATCCCGTGGCCATTCTAGAGGAAGATCCCGTGGCCATTCTAGAGGAAGGTCCCGTGGCCACTCCAGAGGTAGGTCTGCAGGACCATCGAATAACATGGATCATGGATGTCACAAGGAAAAGTATCATGATTGCTGCCAGGAAACGCAGAAAGGAAGAGCAAGAGAAGAATCAAGGCAGCGATGCAGACACCATTCAAGGGGTCACCCCAGAGGACGATCTAGGAGTCATTCCAGAGACCACTGCAGTGGAAAATGTAGAGGCCACTAGAGACATGTCGTGGTCCTACGACATAATTAATAGACAGTATCTACAAAAACTATAAAAAAGGAAAAAAATATAAAAACACAAAATGACAAAAAAAAGCTTAGGTTAGGGACATGGGGTGCGTGCAGAGAACCTCCTCGTGTGCTCGGCGGTTGCAGGTCCCTCATGGATGTGTCCGGGGGGAAGGGCAGCTGGTGGGCCGGTGCACCCTGGGCACGGACAATCATCTCTCTCGAGGGGGGGAGATTGTTGTTTGTGGCGAATTTCTGCATTGAATAGCTTTGATAAGGTGCCGATGTAATCAAGATTGTTCCGAAAGTGCTGATCTCAAGCATGGAAATAGTACTTTTACAAGGACACTATGTATTTAGCAGGTATCATCTTTAAAGCATTTATGGATTAACGGAGGGGGAGAGGGGGCTTTACTTTCACACGTTTTATACTTACCTACTCATTAGTAGATATTTCTACTAGTAGCGTAGTAGGAACAATATAAGGAATGCATCTAGAGTCTGTTATCTATGCGTGTTAAAACATTAAGCACATTTCCACTAATCCAAACGTGGTAGCGTGGCCGAGCGGTCTAAGGCGCTGGTTTAAGGCACCAGTCTCTTCGGAGGCGTGGGTTCGAATCCCACCGCTGCCAAATACTTTTGTCGTTTTAGCTTCTCTACAATATGTTCACACTGTAGTTAGCAATGGTTATAAACATTATAACTGATTAAACACCAAATGGATCCTTCATTCTTTATTGCATCTTAAAATTAATTATTACTAGAACACACTAATAATGTTGACAAGTAAAGGTCTATGACATTACAAAGTAAATTACAGGTTTTCACTTACAAAAACATAAAAATAACATCTGGAGTCAAAATTAATTTTACGTGAATATGAATAAAACAAAGAATTGATACAAATTTCGCGAAATATGTACTTACGGCTCGTGAAAATTGGTAAAAATGAATTTATAACTTCATTCATATACTTAAATAAAAACAGATTTTTAGTTACCTGAAACCAAGTTTGTGTACTATGGGAACTATGGAGAGTTAGAAATATCCATATTATCTGGAGAATTATTTGCGTCGCATACTTCAGGGGTCTTACTTGCTATAGTACTCAGCTGTCTGTCCGTCTATCTGTCACTAGTCTATCGCCAACATGAAGCTACAAAGCCGTAGCTTCATGGTGATCATGATCATCATCATTCATATTGTGAGGATGGGAGAGATAAAAGATGGTAAGTATTATGAATACAGACTGACGTTTATTTAGAGAGCACTTGATTATATACGATTTTAAGTGTCATAGGTACATAGTATAGTAACATAAGGGAGTTTCATTGAACATTTAGGTACTACAAACAAATTTTAGTCATTTTAAAATTGGTAGAGTGTAATTGCTTTTCTGACCCCTGACTGTACTTTCTATGATTATTCAAACACCACTGACATACGGTGAAGGGAAACTTCGTAAGGAAACATGAACTTATAACAAGTTCGAAATCGCCAATCCGCATTGAACTAGCGTGGTGATTAATGCTCAAACCCTCTGCGTATGAGGAGGGCCTTTTGTTAGCAGTGGGCACTTATCTATAGGCTGTAATGTGATGTAGTCCATTTGTCGAGGAATGCTATAGGATATAAAACATCACGCTATGATCTGCAGGAGCCGAGTAGCGGACGAAACCGCGCTAGAGAGGCTGGTTATTATATAAAAAGTAAAACAGTGTCAGTCTGCCGGTCTGGCTTCTAGTGAAGCTATTTGCTCGTCCCAAGGTGTAGATTTCTATGGAAAAGAACGAGTAAGAAACTCCATATTAACCCTTTTTTAATCAATTTCACAGTTTAATTGTGTTACATTATTAATAATTATATTTGGCAAAGAATTCGAAAAATAAAATCACCTCAACGACACTATAATTAGAGTTTAAAATTGACCAGTCCCAATTTCCGGCGCCCGTTTATGAACATGACACACACCAGTTACACCAGCATCATCCAACTCAATCATATTCGTTTTTTTTATGTAATAGGTTGGCAAACGACCGGACGGATTACCTGATGGTGAGCAGTCAGCGCCACCCATGAACGCCCGCAACATGCGACGGCGCGATGGCTTATTATCCGAACTGCTAAGCTATCAGGAGTTACACGTGCTATTTTGACTTAACCATAAAAGATAGACACATGCTGTAAAACATTTTATTTAGATAATTTTATGTAGAATATTTCCGTCATACATAAATTTGATGTAACTTTAACCGTTAAGCTACACACGCGACGGAACCTTAAAAACGGGGTAACTTCTTCCGTTTTTAACCAACTTCCAAAAAGGAGGATGGTTCTCAATTCGACCGTATAATATATGCTTTTTTTATGTTTGATCCCCGGTATCTCCTTTATTTATGAACCAATTTTGATAATTATTTTTTTGTTGGAAAGGAGATAGTCCCAGAATGGTCCCATGATAAGGAAATCAGGATCTGATGATGGAAGACTAGAGAAACCGAGGGGAGCTTTCAAATATTGTAGTGGCGAGTGGTGCTTTTGCATATGGTTTTAGTAGGCTTTTGACAACGCTACAACTTGCTGATATCCAAACCCGACCTGATGATGGAGCCGGAAGACAGTCGAGGGATCTCCTTGACTATTAGGAGTAGTTGCGTTGTGTTTGGGCTTGAATGATTCATATTTTTTCACTTTGCACCAAGATTGGTCGTGACTGTCATTTAGGGTCTGATGATGAGAACGATGGACAGCTCAAGGAACTCCTGAATGGTTTACAGAAACTACCTCGTGTTTGGACTAAATTCATTAATATCGATGAAAACTTTGCACCTTTATGGATTACAATGAAGTTATGCAGTATATTGTGATGATGGAGCCGGAAGGCAGTCGAGGGATCTCCTTGACTATTTGGAGTAGTTGCCTTGTGTTTGGGCTTGAATGATTCGTATTAGTGAGCACTTTGCACGAAGATTGTCATTAAGGGTCTGATGATGAGAACGATGGACAGCTCAGGGAACTCCTGAATGGTTTACAAAAACTACCTCGTGTTTGGACTAAATTCATTTATATTGATGAGAACTTTGCACTTATATGGATTATGTCTAATGAAGATCTGCTTGATAGCATAGGAGGTCATTGACATTCGAGGAAATTCCCCAACGATTTACGGCACTGAAAGCTGACTAACTCAGGACTGCCATTACCGTGATTTTCGGTCTCAAGTAGTCGTCATCTTCTCTTTTAAGAAGCATCCTAGCTTTCTCTGCCTATCACTTAAATTGGTGAAATAAAATAATTTTTACACAAAAAACGTCTTCTGAAATAGAAAATAATATCTATTTAATAACTATTTTATAATTTTGAAGTCACACACAAGTTCAAAGTAAATTTATTTTTTACTTTTTAGTTTACCTACTTTTTGAAATCGGTTTTTATTGTAAAAATTATTTTATCCCTTCACTGCTCTGCTCCTATTATTTATCGCGTGATGAAAAGTACCCTATAACCTGCCCAGGAGTATAAAGAATAATTGTACAGTTTTGTTAATTTCGTCGAGTAGTTTTTGTTTCTATAAGGAACATACAGACAGACAAACAGACAAAAATTTTACTGATTGCATTTTTGGCATCAGTATCGATCACTTATCACCCCCTGGTAGTTATTTAAAAAATATATTTAATGTACAGAATTGACCTCTCTACAGATTTATTATAAGTATAGATTAATTTAATGTATCGAGGTTTAGGAACATTCAATCAATTTATTATCTTAATGTACCTAATGCGCGTTGGCTGAGGGTGCTTCTGATACGTCGCTGTTACCTTTTGTGAAATATTTAAGTCCAACACGATAATTCGAAAAAACTGGTCACGCAGTAATAATAATTGGTGCAATGCATGCTTATATTCTGAGTGATACAGTAACTACAGTAACAGTCTGCACAATAGAAATAAATGTAGGTACCTATGGGAATGTGTCCTGCCTCCTATCTAAACTGCATGCGTAAAATTACCTACTTGAGAGACAAAATAAGTCATGTTCAGCTGCTGCGGGAAATCTCTCGCTTCCGGCTGTAGTGTCTACTATGGTCGGGAGCGAGTCAGGGTGGAGTGCCGTCGCTACCTTCTGCGAAGCCGTGATGCTCGCAAAGGAGTCGGCGGAAAGGGAGAGAGAGGCTGCCTCCTCTCTCCCCTCCCGCAGCAGACGCACTAGACGTCGTAGGCCGACCTGCGGCCACCGTAGGGTGCGGCCTGCGGACGACAGACTCGGGGCGTCTTGTCGTCCGACCAGCAGCAGGCCTCGAGGCGGCGGCGCCGTGTTCCGCGCGCGCCTCATAATGGAGTCCTGCGGTCGGGGTGACGGCCGCAGTGGGTGACGGGGCCCGCCTAACCATCTGGCGGGCCAATACCCGTCGGGGGGATGCGACGAATGCTTCGGCGATACCCGCCCCTCCGACACATTGGTAAGTGGAGGAACACCGGGTTGGTTTTTAGTCAGTATGAGTCTGACAGTACCCTTCGCCCTTCCCCGAGGGTGGTGGGTCTCCATGAGGATTTTCCAACCCGAAAAAAAAAAAAAAGTCATGTTCAGCTAGGCTGAGCCTATTAATTCCGCGCGCGCATCATAGAGAAGTCCAGGAGCCGGGATGAAGGCCACAAAGGGTGACGTGGCCAGTCTGAATATTGTCCTTCCAGGAAGGTCCCATGAGAATTATCCTCTCACAATGGATATATACCAAATGTATACCCCTTGGTGCACAGGAATACCAAAAACAACCTGGTTTGTTTGCTATATGGGGATCTAGCAAACTACGTTCTCTTTGTACCCATTTCAAAATATTGCGTCATCAATGAGTAGGTATTTTCCTAGAACAGTGGAATTTTCCTATATTCCTACAAAGGTAGCCATTTTGTTGCGCAACAATTACGCAATAATTGCAATCATTGCGCAATTTGTGAAATGATTACGCAACTAAGTTGAATATAAACGATAACGTTCGTGGGATGAGCCACATTCAGCTCAAGCAGTTGACGCAAGTCACATTATATCTCACGCTATACCAGCTATACCTACATACCTACTTCACTAACCGATACGAAGATCCGTTGTGTGTTTCAGAGGTTGGAGATCCAGCACATGGAGACAGCAGTCCTCGTAGCAGTGCCCAGCCGTGGGCAGCCGAGTGCTGAGCCTGCAGCCTTAGATGTGAGCACAGGAGTGGAAGCTGATACAAGATGTTCTCGCTGCAGAGGCCGCTCGAGAGATCGATCTGTGAGTCGAGGTCGATCGCGAGGTAGGTCCAGGGGACGCTCCAGGGGCAAGTCACGCAGCCGCTCCAGGGGCAGATCTCGCGGCCGCTCTAGGGGCAGATCTCGCGGTCGCTCCAGGGGTAGGTCCCGCGGTCGCTCCCGAGGAAGATCCCGTGGCCATTCTAGAGGAAGATCCCGTGGCCATTCTAGAGAAAGATCCCGTGGCCACTCCAGAGGTAGGTCTGCAGGACCATCGAATAACATGGATCATGGATGTCACAAGGAAAAGTATCACGATTGCTGCAAGCAAACGCAGAAACGAAGAGCAAGAGAAGAATCAAGGCAGCGATGCAGACACCATTCAAGGGGTCACTCCAGAGGACGATCTAGGAGTCATTCCAGAGACCACTGCAGTGGAAAATGTAGAGGCCACTAGAGACATGTCGTGGTCCTACGACATAATTAATAGACAGTATCTACAAAAACTATAAAAAAGGAAAAAAACACAAAAAAAATATAAAAACACAAAATGACAAAAAAAAGCTTAGGTTAGGGACATGGGGTGCGTGCAGAGAACCTCCTCGTGTGCTCGGCGGCTGCAGGTCCCTCATGGATGTGTCCGGGGGGAAGGGCAGCTGGCGGGCCGGTGCACCCTGGGCACGGACAATCATCTCTCTCGAGGGGGAGAGATTGTTGTTTGTGGCGAATTTCTGCATTGAATAGCTTTGATAAGGTGCCGATATAATCAAGATTGTTCCGAAAGTGCTGATCTCAAGCATGGAAATAGTACTTTTACAAGGACACTATGTACTTAGCAGGTATCATATTTAAAGCATTTATGGATTAACGGAGGGGGAGAGGGGGCTTTACTTTCACACGTTTTATACTTACCTACTCATTAGTAGATGTTTCTACTAGTAGCGTAGTATGAACAATATAAGGGGTGCATTTAAAGTGTGTTATCTATGCGTGTTAAAACATTAAGCACATTTCCACTCATCTAAACGTGGTAGCGTGGCCGAGCGGTCTAAGGCGCTGGTTTAAGGCACCAGTCTCTTCGGAGGCGTGGGTTCGAATCCCACCGCTGCCAAATAATTTTGTCGTTTTAGCTTCTCTACGATATTAATATGCTCAGACTTCGCGAATGTATGTAGTACGTATGAACTACTGATTTCTTTTCACTAGTCTGGTGCAGGTTTGGTTAAAATAACAACTCACCATATGGATCCTTCATTCTTTATTGCATCTTAAAATTAATTATTACTAGAGCACACTAATAACGTTGACAAGTAAAGGTCTATGACATTACAAAGTAAATTACAGGTTTTCACTTACAAAAACATAAAAATAACATCTGGAGTCAAAATTAATTTTACGTGAATATGAATAAAACAAAGAATTGATACAAATTACGCGAAATATGTACCTACTTACGGCACGTGAAAATTGGTAAAAATGAATTTATAACTTCATTCATACTACCTACTCTGTCAAGAAAGTACCGGGAAAAAGTCAATAATACACAAAATGTTTGTTATTCATCTAAATTTATTTTATCACCTTCAAAGTATGCTCCTTCAGAAACGATACACTTACGCCAACGAATAATCCAATCACCGAAACTTTTTTTAAACGCTGTTTCCGGAATTGAGTTCAGTGCTCGCCGCGAATTCTCCTTTATGTCTTCTAACGATTGAAAACGGGTGCCACGAAGGGGTAATTTGAGTGTGGGAAAAAGAAAGAAGTCGGCTGGAGCCATATCTGGTGAATATGGTGGCTGCTCGATGGTGTTTGTTAAGTGTTTGGACAAAAAATCGTTTACAATGATGGCCTTGTGCGAAGGCGCATTATCGTGATGCAAAATCCAAGAATTTTCTTTCCACATTTCTGGCCTTTTTCGTCGAATTTGTTCTCTTAAACGCCGCATAACGCTCAAATAATATTCGTTTGACCTTCGGGCAAGAATTCTGAGTGCACAACACCGCGATAGTCAAAGAAAACAGTCAACATGACTTTGACTTTTGATCGACTTTGACGTGGTTTTTTCGGTTTTGGTTCAGTTGGAAGGCGCCATTCCGAAGCTTGTTGACTAGTTTGCATGTCAAACTCGTAAACCCACGTCTCGTCACCAGTAACAATGCGTTTCATGAATGTTGGGTCGGTATTGACTCGTTCTAGCATGTCCTCAGCGACTTTCATGCGATTTAGTTTTTGAAGAAAATTCAGGTCTTTTGGGACTAGCCGAGCGGCAACACGTTTCATACCCAAATTATTTGTTAAAATGGTACGGATCGACTCGTGAGATACAGAAAGTTCGGCGGCCATCTCTCTCAAACTTGAATGAGGATTTTCAGTCACTATTTCCTTCAGTTTTGCGATGTTAACTTCAGTTGCAGACGTTGATGGCCTACCAGAACGAGGCAAATCTTCCATCAGATCTCGACCGCTTTTGAACGCTTTGTACCACTCATAAGCACGTGTTTTTGATAAAGTCGATTCACCGTAAGCCTTCTGTAACATTTTGAGTGCCTCCGAACACGAAATTTCATTGGCGATGCAAAGTTTAAGACAAACTCTTTGTTCGATGTTTTTGTCCATTATGAAATTCGCAATACACACTAGATATTATAAAACTAAAAACAGCACTGTTTTTAATTTAAATAACAGATGCAACTCAAATTCCGCGCCAAAATGGAAAACAGTTATGCCAATCTAACAACAACAAAAAAATTAAAATTCGAATTTGGAACCATAAAAAAAACATTCATTCCCGATACTTTGTTGACTGAATGTATACTTAAATAAAAACAGATTTTTAGTTACCTGACACCAAGTTTGTGTACAATGGAACTATGGAGAGTTAGAAATATCCATATTATCTGGAGAATTCCTTTCATCGCATACTTCAGGGGTCTTACTTACTTGCTATAGTACTCAGCTGCCTGTCCGTCTGTCTGTCAGTCTATCGCCAACATGAAGCTACAAAGCCGTAGCTTCATGGTGATCATGATCATCATCATTCATATTGTGAGGATGGGAGAAATAAAAGAGGTTATATATGCATACAGACTGACGTTTATTTAGAGAGCACTTGATTATATAGGATTTTAAGTGTCATAGGTAGTGTAGTATAGTAACATATGGGTGCTTCATTGAACTTTTAGGTAAGTACTGGAAACAAATTTTAGTAATTTTAAAATTGGTAGAGTGTAATTGCATTTCTGACCCCTGACTGTACTTTCTATGATTATTCAAACACCACTGACATACGGTGAAGGGAAACTTCGTAAGGAAACATGAACTTATAACAAGTTCGAAATCGCCAATCCGCATTGAACTAGCGTGGTGATTAATGCTCAAACCCTCTGCGTATGAGGAGGGCCTTTTGTTAGCAGTGGGCACTTATCTATAGGCTGTGATGTGATGTAGTACATTTGTCGAGGAATGCTATAGGATATAAAACATCACGCTACGATCTGTAGGAGCCGAGTAGCGGACGAAACCGCGCCAGAGAGGCTGGTTATTATATAAAAAGTAAAAAGTGTCAGTCTGCCGGTCTGGCTTCTAGTGAAGCTATTTGCTCGTCCCAAAGTGTAAATTCCTATGGAGAAGAACGAGTAAGAAACTCCATATTAACCGTTTTTTAATAAATTTCACAGTTTTATTCTGTTACCAATGAAGCCAAAGAATCGGAAAAATAAAATCACTTCAACGACGTTATATTTAGAGTTTAAAATTGACCAGTCCCAATTTCCGGCGCACGTTTATGAACATGACACGTAGGTACACCAGCATCATCCAACTCAATCATATTAGTTTTTTTTTATGTAATAGGTTGGCAAACGACCAGACGGATTACCTGATGGTAAGCAGTCAGCGCCGCCCATGGAGGGTGTCCATGGGCGGCGCTGACTGCTTACCATCAAAAAGGAAAGGACGAGTTACGAGTGCGTTGCCGACCTTTTAGGGATTAGGGATTTGGAGATTTAGGGATTGGGGGCGGGGAAGGATTGGGCCTACGGTAACCTCACTCACACGGCGAAACACAACGCTGTGGTTGTTTCACGCCGGTGTTTTGTGAGGCCGTGGTATCACTCCGATCGAGCCGACCCATTCGTGCCGAAGCATGGCTGTCCCACACTTTCGGGAAAATAATAATTCAAATAATGATTTGAATGCGACGCACCATAAACGAGGGACTGGCTCTGGTCGGACAGGTGTCTTCTCGCTGCACCCAGGGCGAAAGAAGTGCATTTGATGATTATACCTACCCACTTTAAAAAAACACCCATCACACCGATTGAACATCGGCTCCTTTGGCCCTATCTAAATGCATTCAGCGCTTACGTTGAAATTTATGTGAGGATAATCAGGCCTTCATAGTCGCCGCTTTTTTTAAGTTGCTTCTTGCTACTGTGTCAATTAGATCGAAGATGTTTGAAAACCTGTGCTGTGCTTATGCGGCTCAAGCGCTCGCTTAACCTATTGTGACGGAAAAGTGGTTCAAACTCTTTGACATCATGACGTCAATGGATGGTTGTCAAACGTTGCCTAGAGATTGTAAATTTCGTCGTGAATTGTCAACACGAGTTGGTGTAATCGGTAAGGCGTGTGGATTACACCACAGAGACCCCGAGTTCGAGTCCCGCCGTAAACATGAAGTTTTTTAGTTGATGGAAGTTTTGTCGAACTTTCTGGAATTATTTGTGTGAAAGAAATGAAAAATTAAAGAGCGAGAAAGAGAATAAATAAAAATGAATAACGAAATTATTGGAAGGTTCTGGAGGCATGACGATCAAAAAGAATAACGAAATTGAATGTTCCAGAACCTGACCGGGGGTATATAAGCGGAACTGCGGCTCACTGCTGGCAGTTGAGTTCTAAGTCTAAAGCGATTCGGAAGAAAAGGAAGAAGTGAAAAAGAAGAAAAGTGAGTGAAATAGTGAAGTGCAGTGAAATAGTGAAGTGCAGTCAGTTAAGTGAGTTAAGTCAGCGTGAACGGCAAAGTTGTGTCAGTCGGCCGGACTCTGCTGGAGAGGAACGCCGATAACTTAACTCCGTGGACGCTGTAACTTAGGTGCAATAGAAAGTCTGAAAACCGGTATTAGTGTTTCATTTCATCCAATCCCGTAACCCAAGCCCGCATAGTCAGGAACGTGACGTCAGGCACGTAACACTATGTATTTGGGGCGACTATTACTAAGACAACGATGCGGTATTTTTACAAAATGTTTACAAATGCTACACAAGACATCAGCCCCAGTATATCTATTCTAGCTCACCGCTATTCTTACATGGAGAAGATAAGACCAATAATCACTCTCCTTGCTCAAGGAGGATTGTTAATTACCTACAATACGGTATTATAATTACCTAACTAGTTTTAAGTTCAGTTCACATAGGTTCTTGCCAGGTTACGAACCTTCATGCATGATAAGACCTTAACCTCCAGGCCAGCCAGAGCGAACCAATGTTATGTGTCGATGATTTTTTTATGTTACTTTAAAGTTAAAACTAATTAACCGACTTCAAACTAGCTACGAGTAACTATTTGTACATGTCGATGCTGGAAAAATGATAGATATCTACTAAGTACCTAGATTGAATAGGAAAAACTACGGTGAAGTAACAAACTAGTAAAGTGTTTATTGACAAAAAGTAAGCATATTAGGGACCCGACCTTAAACCTATACTTAATTATATAGGTACCTAATCAATCTAATTAACTCTATGCAGAAATTCGCCACAAACAATAATCTCTCCCCGTCGAGAGAGATAATTGTCCGTGCCCAGGGTGCACCGGCCCGCCAGCTGCCCTTCCCCCCGGACACATCCGTGAGGGACCTGCAGCTGCCGAGCACA